CCGCCCCTCCCTGAGCCTGGTTCTGCCGGAGGTTTCTTCCTGTTAAAAGAGAGTTTTTCCTTCCCACTGTGGCCAAAGTGCTTGCTCATAGGGAGTCATGTGATTGTTGGGTTTTTCTCTGTATCTACTGTACAATAGAAAAGCGCCTTGAGACGACTGCTGTTGTGATTTGGCGCTATATAAATAAAATTGATTTGAATTGAATATACAGCAGGTAACAAAAACAGACTTGCAGGCTCCATTTCTACCTGTTCATGTTTCTACAGTAGAATCATGCAGAGATCGCTTTAAGGTCTCTTTGGGTTGGTTTTTGTATTTGCTTTTTGTTCATATGTAAATTAATAGAGGGCTATAGAGGGTATTGCTGTGTAAGACTGTAGTCTGAGTTGAAAACTGATGAGTTTTGGGAGAAAGCATGACATTAGTTTTTTGGGAGGCAAAGTTTGGAAGAGTTTTATATATTGTATAACTAGCTTTTGAAAGGGGGCACATAGCAGGCTGAATAACAACAACTCACATTCGTCAATAATCTAATATGGAATCGCATCATACTATAAATAAAAAGAAACATTCTTTTTTCTCCACATTGTAAAGTTATCATGTCGCAACAGTAGGATTGGTCAGTTTCAATATTATTACGGGGCCAACATTATTACGTGTATGATGATGCTTGAAATACACCACACAGAGATATGGGGAACAACAGCAGGGTTGGCTCCATGGCCTTTCTCTGTTTCTAATATAAACAGTATCAGTGTCTCATCTTTGGCTTCCTGCTGCACATCTTAGCATCCTTCCATTAATACAATCAAACAAGCAGAAGTAATGTCTGAACTACAGTACTTCTTGAATTAACAACCGAGGGATTTTCCTATTCTGGGTAAATATATTATGTTAGTGATAAAAACCAACTTATAAGAAAACTAGTGCAATGACACCAAAATCACGGTGAGGTTATGATCTACACTGCAGTCAGACACTAGGGGGCAATAGAGAGGGGTTTTTGTTTTGGTTTGTTTTTGCTGTTTTTGCTGTCATTGCTGTCATAGGGCAAACGTGGGGCAAATATGTTGGTATGGGACACATTGCTCATAGGATTTTAGCAAGTGGAGGAAATATTTAATTTAAATCAACCTTCCAAGGTTCCTTGTTAAATAAACACAGTGACCATAAAAAGGTGAAGTTCAGTAGCTATAAAAATGTTATTTCAGTTTATGGTTTGTGTAGTCATCCTTTAGATTACAGACTGACTGTGAGGTTACATCTTAACTATTTTTGGCTGTTTTAACATGAATGTTTTCTTCTTTTTGAACTTTGCTTTTTGACTGTTATTTGTCAAGCTGACTGACTTTCCATGTACAACCACTAAATCGAATTACTTAAATTTGTTGGATACTTTGATTTTATGCCGTCTCAGGTCCACTTTTTGTTCAACACTGATAAAATCCAAATTAAATTAATAATTTGTTCAGATTTTTATTTATTATAAGGAACTGTATTTTCAGAACTGATTTTTTCAGGTTACAGCCTTTACTGCTTTATTTGAATTTTGGTTTAACATAGAAAAGACTTTAAGGGGAAAAAACTCTAAATAGAATTGCTTTTACAAATCATATTACACATTTTTGCATTTAATTTCTGTTTTACAAAAGGCTTTTATGGATTTTTCTTTTTTACAAGTTTACCTTATTCAAAATTTTATGTCACTCAGTGGTCTGTCGCCATGACAGTATTTTGTCTTTGCATGAGACTGTTAGTTATTTCTGGACTGGTTTATTTAGGTTTATTTCCTGAGTGTGTTATTTCGTTATGTTTCTGAGTTTGCTTAGTTCTCTGGTCCTTGTTTAGTTTAGGCAGTTCTTATTTTGTCCATGTGTCTGTCTGTCTCTGTCTCTCTCTCTCTCTCTCTCTGCGTGTTAGTGATTTCCTGTTTAATTGTAACAATCACTTGTCTTTTGCATTGTGTTCATTTTTGCGTCCCCTGTCTCGTTAGTCAGACTCAGATGTGGATCCTCTGGCTGTCTAGCTAAGTTCTTATTAAGGTAATATGACAGCATAGTTTAAAAATAATCTTATTTTAATGTCACAAATGTTCTTCAATAAGCTGGTTGTTGTCGTGCACTGATATTAACACTCATAGTATGGCTGAAGGCTGCTTCTCCTGTCACTTCTTTATCCCAAGACGTTGATTCTGTTCATCTGGATGTAGCGCTTTAAGCGGGAGAAACATTTCATCACTCATCCAAGTCACTTCTTTAATCTCAGCTGACTGCAGGTTTCCCCAACCTTATAAAGAGTACATTTGCACAATGACTAAATCTACCCCACTGAATGAACAATGGGTTGTGAGGCCAGTTCCTTGATGATTAATATGCTAATTGTCATGACGACTGATCAACAACCACTGATCATGACCACTGATCAAAGACCATTGATCAATGGCCATGAGTACAAATCAAAGAGTTGGGAAATGGCTGCAATCACAGCATTGTAAGATGGCACCCGTAGGCCCCTTCCGCGATTCAGAGATGGTCTTTCCCTTTTCATGTAAATGGCCTCCTTGACTCCTCGCTCAAACCAGCGTTCCTTACTGTCCAGGATGTGAACATCCTCATCATTGAAAGAGTGTCCACCTGGCCTGTTGAAGGAAATAGAGTGCGAAGTCCTGGCCCGACTAGTCAGGTCTTCTGTGTTGTGCCAGCTGCTATACCAGAGTTTGCCCAATGTATAAATCATGACAATCCTCCTGGCACTTAACAGCGTGCACTATATTACTCTGTTTGTGTCAGGGGACCTGATCATTGGGGTGGATCAATTTTTGGCCCACGGTGTTTAGAAAAAATGTGTCTCAACTGTTCCAATACTTCTGACACATAAGGGATCAGGCAGCAATTGTCCTTCTCTCCTAGATCGGCTATTATTTTTATTCTCCCAGGGCACTCCGGCTTCCTCCCACAGTCCAAAGGCATGCAGTTACTGGCAGGGCTGGACTGGGACAAAAAATAGGCCCAGGCATTTTGACTAGAGACCGGCCCACCAGGTATTAAAGCCATAGAGCCTTTGAATGAAAACAAACACTGTTGTAACACTGATGTACACTGTCTTGTTGGTATATGTATGATTTCTATACATTTTACTTCAGATAAAAACTTTGGTTGTAAGATTCAGATAATTATTTAATAAAAGTGAAATATTTTAAATGATAAGAAGAAAGAAAAGTATTTCTTTGTGCCCCCCTTTCCCTGTTAATGCCCTACCTGGCCCCCTGGCAAAACTTTGCTAGACCCGCCCCTGCAGTTACCAGCTGTCAGCTACAAAGGATCCTGGTGTTATTTGTCTCTCAGAAACAGTTCATAACTTCCCTTCAACTCATTCATGTCACCTAAAAGGTAAACCTGTTTCTCCATCACCTGTTCAGCTCTGATGATTCAGTAAGGACATCTCCTGGTTTCATCTTCATGTTTTCCTCTCACCACATATCCAAACTGACATCATGACCAGCAGCTTGAAAACTAGAAATCAATATTAAATAAATTCTAACAACAGCTGATCAAGCTTAAACGTGCTGCTGTTGTTTAGTGCAACATCCGCTGGTTTCCTGTTTCTGGCGCAAAGTGGGAGATAAAAAAAACGAAAAGCTGATCAGCTGATCATTGATCAGTTTCATGATTGAAATAGCAACAAGAGGGGGAGAGGGGGAGAGAATGAGAGAAGAAGCAGCAGCTGTGCGGCGTAAACACAGAATAACTCCAGCTTTGTGTCTTTTCCATTGTAGCTGAAGTACAGAACAAACTGTGTTCCTTCTCAGCTCAATACGAAACGTGTAATATTTTCTCTGAATACGGGACAATTCCGTTTTTTACGGGACGGTTGGCAACTCTACTAACTAACCTTATGAACAAAATAAAGTTCACTATCAGTAACATCATAGCACCCAACCAGCTGTATAGAAACTCCTTCATGCTAGCTAGTACGCAGTACAAGTTATTGTAACTGATTGTAAAAAGTCAGCACAACAAAAATAAACTACACCTAAACCTGGTTTATATCTGACCCAGATAGACTGCAGGTCATAACTTCTTACCTGAAGTTCAGTTCACCTGATACTCGGCCCGGCGGCCGCCTCGGGTCTCTGCTCCTCCTGCCTCCACTTTCCCTCATCCAGCTGTTGCCTCTGTGGAAGTTCCACCATAGCCACCACCAAACAACTGAGTTATTTTTACACATCAACCAGCATCTGGCCAATCCAACACCTTTCATTGTTTGTGCCGTTACAAAAAAGAAACAAAAGAAAAAAAACATCGGCCCATAAAAATGAAAAATCACCATCGGCCCACCGGGCAAATGCCTGGTATGCCCGATGGCCAGTCCAACTATGGCTACTGGGGTTAGGTTAACTGAAAACACTAAATTGCCCATGGGAGTGAATGTGAGTGTGATTGGTTGTCTATGTGTTAGCCCTGCGACAGACAGGCGACCTGTCCAGGGTGTACCCTGCCTCTCACCCTAAGACAGCTGGCACAGGCTCCAGTGCTCCCTGCGACTCTGAAAGGAGAAGTGGATGGATGGATTTATTTATTCATTCCACATAAAATGTAAAAAACAAATTATAAAACACAAAAAACAACTATTTACAATTCTTTTTCTCTCTCTTCCTCCTGCACTGTTCATGTGCTACTGCTGCTGCGAGTGTAACTACCACCCCTTCCCCCTCTGCTCAGCGCAAACACAAGGCACAAACACATATTGACCAATCACAAGCGGCGTGAAGTAAAAAAAAAAAGAGAGATAGAGGGTGAGAGAAAGAAAAAAACCACAAGGCTCCCAATAAGGAGCCGGCTTCCGTCATTCACTTCAAGGAGCCGGCTCTAAGAGCCGTTTAGGTCGCAACCGACCCATCACTGATACCCAGGGCCTTCGTGATGTGATGTTCTTCTGCTTCTCTGGCTTCTGTTTCTGTGGGGATGGTGTTTGCTATACGTTTTAGTGTCCTGAAGACACCCAGTTTGTGCTCCAGTAGATGATGAGAGTCAAACTTGATACTGATCCGTATGCGTAGGTTTACGGCACAGCTTTCAAATGTCTCCCATTACTGATGGAAATCTCGCAGTCTAAGAAAGCTACCCTGCCACTTTTCATATCCTCCCTGGTGAATTGGATGTGTTGGCTTACCGAATTAATGTGATCCATGAATTGTGGTACGTCCAGAGATTTGATTTTAACCCAGGTGTCATCCACATACCTGAACCAATGACTTGGTGGTGTTCCAGGGTAGCATAACAAAGCCCTCTTTTCCATTTCTTCCATGTACAAATTGGCCACAATGGGCGAAACTGGGGCCCCCATGGCACACCCATGTTTCTGCCTGTAGTACTGACCCTTGTATGTGAAATGGGTGGAATTAAGACACAATTCCAAAAGCAAACACAACCGGTCGGTGCTGTGGTTCTGCTACTGAAGTTGGGCTCATCCTGTAATCTCTTTCGGACTACCTCCAATGCTTCAGTGACTAGTACAAGTGAAGAGTCATTGTAACATTGTACAAAACCATTGTTTCATCGGCCCCCATAATAACATCTCTCACCTTCTCAACAAAATCCAAGGTCTTCTGGATGTGGTGTTCAGAGCTGTCTACCAGCGGGTTGAGGATCAAAGCCAGAAACTTTGAGATGTTATAGGTGACTGAGTTGATAGTACAGACAATTGGTCTTAAAGGTACACCCTGTTTATGTATCTTTGTAGATTTCCCCTGGGTATAGCCTGTGGTATGAGGTCCAGTCAATAGCATTGTCTTGTTCTAACTGCTTCAGGCAATCTATCACCCTCTTCCTGTAACCACTTCCTAGGTTTTGTTTCAGGGGGTCATAAGTATTTTTGTCACTGAGCAGTGACACAGTTTTTCTCATGTTGGTCTTTCTGGTTTAGCAAAACCATGCACAAACTCTTGTCTGCTGGAAGGATGATAA